TAAACCATACTGTCTGTTTCCATTGTATCAATGAAAATGGGTGCATTTGCTCATATTTTAAGTAGAAATTTTAAAAGTAAAGAAGAAATGAGCAGGGGTTTGTAATCAATTACTAGCGCTTTTTATCATGGAGGAGTTACAACATGTTAAATTAACATGGCTTAATAGATTTCAGGTTCTTTCTTTTTCCTCCCCTCTAAAAAGGGACCGTGTTTTAGTTTCATAGAATTTCTTCAGGATACTTCTTTCACTGAAAGCATGTAAACTGAGAAAAATAACTGGGAAAATACAGAATAACATTTGGTTACATATTTTACTCTTTGCTTTTTCTTTCTGTATTAGTTATTGATTTTTTAGAGATGACTGCTATGTTAAAGTAGAAGTGGTTGGTAAAGATTCAGAAGCTTATCCTATTTAAACTGGTGGTGAGGAAATTATATCTTAACTTAGAGTGAAAAGTCTGATTTGTTGACCCAATAAAGTAGGACCAAGAGGCAAACTGTCCCAAGTGCCACTTTAGTTCAGACTGAAGGCTAATTTTTTTGACAGAACACTAAGCTTCATGTCTCCAGTTATAGTGTTTCTAACCTTATGTCTGACTCCTCAAGAGGTCTGTATTGAAAGAAGGAAAAAATCTAGTTTGGTAAGATTTAAAATGTATCAGTGTGGGGTTCGGAGTGTTTAGATGTTGGTTTTTCTTGCTTGTTTGTAGGCATGTTGTGGTATTCACCCAGGAAACTCAGTTCAGCAGGGTGGTGGCCTATGGATGTTAAAACAGAGTTTCTTCTGCTGTGTATCGAAGGAAAAAATGTTATTGTAATCCTGTTGCAATATCTAGATTAGCTTTGTTAGGTATCTAATTTTGTGTGTATATCCTGGCTGAATAGAAAGACTTGGTTATAACAGTTTCTATTCACTCCTGTGTTACTGATATATTTTGTTGGTGATAATGAGAGAAATAGGGTGTTGGTCTCTTGAAATCTAATCTTAGAACCTTTCTTACATAATGAGAGAAAATGGATGAAGGTGATGGCTCGTGCCTGTCATGCCTAAATTTAGTTCTGCTGCTGTACCAGGAGGAAGGTGAAGAGTACAGTTTCCTAAATCCTATATTTAACATAAAAGGTTGGATTTACTCCTGATACATGTGTACATACACATGTGTGTGAGTACAGTTTCCTAAATCCTATATTTAACATAAAAGGTTGGATTTACTCCTGATACATGTGTACATACACATGTGTGTGTGTGTGTGTGTTTGTGTGTGTGTGTGTGTACACAGATTTGGGCTTTTTGAGAGTTGAGTTGTGTGTTTGTTTTTAACGCTTGTGCCACTTCTTTACAAGGAAAGCCCTAAATACACTAATAGATCTGTAAGGAGAATTGGGAAGCCCTAAATACACTAATAGATCTGTAAGGAGAATTGGGTAAGATTTACTAAAAATACTGGAGGTACTGCTTATTAAAGAGGTATGCTGGCCAATGAGACAGGGAGCTGCTTTCCACAAGTGATAAGCAATTTGTGTAATCTCATTGCTCAGGTTGTCCAGGATATGTTTTTGCCAGCTCAGGAAGCAGAAGAAAGAAAGTTTCAACAGTTTGTAAACATTACCACCCTCAAGAATCTCTGTGAACACAAGGCTGAGATAAGACAGGCTGTAGGGCTGGTTGCAGTGTTTATTTATTCTACTGTCCTGAAGTCCCAAGTGTGCTGAAAAGCCCTGAGTCAGTGCTGAGTCCAGTTCAGAATTGTGAAGGCTTCACTCAGCATTGGGCAAAGGGGGCCTCTGCAGGCAATTATCTGTCATTAAAAGAATTGAGACACAAGATCAGATTTTCTTTGATGGGATGTGCTACTATAGTGATGTTCAAAAGAAGGTCATTCCTGCTCTTTAGAGCAAGGGTGGTATCAGCCGGGTTTCTGATGGATTTTTATCAGTGTTGATGTGAGGAAATGGCTTTCCCAGCTGATAACATCTTTGACCGAGTTTCTTGAATCTTTGACCTTTATCAGTCAAGGTATATATCAAATCCTCTTGTTAAAAATAAATCCCAAAAGAAGTTACATGGAAAAGACAACTTTCAAAGGAACATGCTTCATAATATTATTTTACCCTGAATGCTGCTTTATTTGTTCAATTTGAGATTTTTATTGCAATTTTAAGAATAGCAAGTTATTAAGAAATGCCTCAATAAAAGCTACACATCAAGCCCTGCACTGGCATTCCAGGTGACCTTACTGCCCTTTCAGCACTCTTAGAAAACAAGTAAATCAGTTAAATTGCTATGTATTGTTGTTGTATGTTGCTGAATAATACTATTTCACCCTCCAGGTAGCTGTGACTGTACTCACAGGGCTCAATAAAGAAGCGTTTATGATGTCAGTGTCAAACTATGCATTTGACTTGAGCCATGTGCATCACCACATAAATGAAAGGTGTTAACAGAAGGCTGGAGCAATGTAATTGTTCTCCTGGTAAAAAAAAAAATTATGTTCAGTTTCTGGAATTATGATGTTTCTGTAGATGGAGGGGACTTGACTTAATGAAAGTTGGGACCAAACTTGCAATTGGACCAGGTCAACAGAATTCGTACCATGTCACGTACAGTGTGATTGTGAATACTTGGAGAAGTGATCACCCATCTCCGACTGATAATACTCTATGAACATTATCTTTTCATCAGTTTTAACTGAAAATTCTTTAGCAACTCCCAGTTCTCCACGCTCTGCACTTTCTGAATCATTTCTTTAGGGAAACTTGATGTTTGTTGCAGCAAATAACTGTACTTTTGGCTTTATGAGGCATGGCATTATTAAAGTTGGGACTATCCTGAAGTCTTGGGGAGAAGCAGACATCTCACCATTGCCAATGGATTTTCCTGTCCCTCTGTGAATAAAATGGCCATCCAAACGTTCTAAAAGAGAAATCTTGGTGGACTGTGGCATAGCTGTGTGGGTGCAGTCTGATCATCCTATAATACAGAGGTAAACTCTGGCTGTAGTGCTCTGTCAAGTCTTGTACATGATAAATATAGATGATAAAGCTTTGGTAGGTATATTTATTGTGAACGACAAGGAGTGTTAATTTTCACCATTAAAGAATGCACACCAGCTCATGTGAGTGTGTTTCACTTGCTGAAGTCCTCTATCAAATCCTGCTTTAAATTGTGCAGCTGCTCGAAGTGAGGCTCTAAGGTCAGGACTGTTGAAGTTGGCGGATATTAGAGCTCGTGGAAAAGATGTTGTAGGTCAGTGCAAGGGAAACCCATGTCAGGGAATCCTTATCTGAAAATGCTCTCTGGCTTTTTGTTTGCTTTGTAATGTCAAAGCAGGGTCAAGAATGTGATCTGTATAGACAGAGTTTTGAACATTTGGGGTTTTTACAAGAAAATGTTCTTTTTGATGTTTAAGTCCCATATGATGGGGTAGTGCCTTTTGGTAGGCCAACTGATAGAGCTGGGAGGTGGGGAGAAAGATGCTTTTTGTTCTTTTCATGTGATGTTGGTGCAATAAAGTTATTTTCTGTCTCTGTGAAACCTGTCATGCTTCTCTCTTGGAATGACTGTAGCAGTAACAATGTTACTCCTACTTTACATAGTTTAAGAAGTGTATAATCTGCACGTTATTGTTTCTTGTGGAAAAAATACCCAATGCTATCAGAATGAGGATAGATATCTCTGTTTTCACAAACCAAAGATAATAATGATAATTTCTCTCACAGAATTCCCAGAGGAATTTTAGTTGGGCAGGGCAGAATGTAATGTATATGTGATGCTGAGGAGGAGGCAGGCTGTCATGTGTTTCGTCACGTTCCAGTAAGGGAGGTTATGCTGGGAATAGGCATGGCAGCTCTTGGTTATGTTTTGTTGTGTTTTCAAACTCACATGCACAACTTGCCAGGTTAGAAGCTTATTTTTTTGTCTCCTTTTCTGTGAAAAGAAAACAGGTTTGTGCAACAATTCCATCTGTTCTGTCATCCTTCCCAAAAGCATTGAGATGCTTTGACACATTTGAAAAACATGTGACTGAAAGTGGGAATATCAAAAATAATTCCACGTATAGTGGAGGCTGTTTAAGGTGAACAAGGCCATATAATATCTGCAATTAAGGAAAAGACTCAGTTTCTACCATGGAGACACTGCTGCACATCAAGGAGCATATGGACATTGGTGGATATAGGACTGACTGGTAGCTGACCATCAACCATTTCCTTCCTAGCTTGGCAGACATGGGGAAGTGCAGAGAAAAAAGAGGAGAAAATGGTACAGTAGTCATTAAGCAAAGATGGAGTGAGGGAGCTGGGGTTAGCTTGGTGGGAGGATGAAGGGTGATAAGAACATCCCCAGTTCTCTTACATCAACATTAACTGTCAGCACGTTTGAGAAGGCCAATAACTCTTGATCTGCAGAGACTGAGTGTCATCCTGCTTCACAGATTATTTAAATCCATTCCATGTATATATGTACATGTCTATTTTTGAGCATTTTTCAATTTATTCCATATGTGAATTTATTCCATTGTTTATTTGAAGTATTTAATGATAAAGAGAACATGTGGACATCAGCAGAAATTCCATTCAATAGATACAATACAAAGAGGTATTTTCTTTAATGGCTTTACTAAGAAGCAAAGGGGAGGGTGAAATCCCCCAAACAAATGCTACACTGAGGAAAATACTTCTGATATTATTTGATACAAGATAATATTTAGAAAATAACTATGCCTCAAGAAAATGTGGACTAGAATGCACAGTATCTTAGTGTGATACTTAAGGCAATGAGATTTTAAGGTTTACCTTATGTGCCATGTATATTGATTAAATACCAAATATATGGTGGCCATTTCTAGCCATCATTTACTGTATTGATTTGTCAGCAGTGGAACTGTAATAAAAAAAGCTATTGATTTACTGTCCTTATTTGCTTATGGGCTTTTTATTAATTTTACACATTGTTTCCTATTTCTAGATTATAATTTTTATGTGTTTCCTCCCTTTAAGACAAGTCTGGTCCTCTCTGAAGTTAGAAAAGAGCAGCAAATTGAGGAACAAAGGAATGAGACCATCAGCTGCTTCCTGCTCCTTCTTAAGGAGAGACAAAAGCTGCGTAAAGAATGGACAGCAAGGTGAGAAATACTCCTATAAATCCCCTTGAGTGGGGAAAAGTGACTTTAAAAAAAATTCTAAATTTTCACTGCTCAAATAGTAATTCCATATTTGTGTGGGGTAGGCTGCTCCCTTAATCATACACTACAGGCTACTGATAACAGCTTGGTAGGCAGTGCTCAGATCTGAGGAGTGGTGCCACCTAAAGTGCCCTCAGGTTTTCCACAGATTGCTGACAATGTGAGCCCTGCTCTTTGCTGGAATGCTCTGCTAGAGCTACACTTGGCTGCTTCCCTCGTGCTCCTCCCATTTCCCTGTGCTGTGCTGCTGGTGTTAACTGGTGCTGGGTGAGATGGGCATGCATGTAGGTACTGCTCACTGCCAGAGATCAGGAGATGCTACTAGCAGTGTTTAAAAATTGGTTTTGTACTTGGTAAGGTTTGTGGTACTGGAATGTAACCAGCTGAGTGCATTTCAGAAGCACCAGATACACCATATTTTTAGTTTGATCAGAAACAGGTGAATGAAAGAGGATTTCCACCATGTTTCACCTTGTCCTTAGGCTCCTGAAGGAGTTGTCACCTTTTTTCACATCTTTGTCTAAAAGCTATAGGTTTATACTAATTTTGTAATCTCTTACTATTTTCTTATTCTATATTGACATAAAATATCTATCAGTCTATGAATTTTTTCTGCCAAATATAAAACTTTCATTTAAAACCAAGAGGTGTTCCTTACTTACAATTAGATACAGTTTTTAGTCAAAAGTATTTTTAAATCAGATTTTTGTTATTGAAATTTAGCATTTAACTGGCATGATTGTTTTGCCTGTGCTGATTAAAGCTAAGGGAGATGCCTTGTATTTTACTGGTGTAGTTCCTGAAGACTCTGAGATTGCTTTTAAAATGTTATCCGTAGATTTTGGGGCTAACACTTGAGTATCTTTTCTGCTCCAAATAATTACAGCAAATGAAGGTGAAACATTTTAGAAAATTTAGATAAAAATTTAACATAATTACCCATAATTACTTTACAAATTACAGGTTGTGTTTTATAAGTTTGTGTTCCAATGAGCATGGATTGTTTATTTGTATGGTACTAATTTAAGATTTCAGAAGTAAGCTGGCTCTAAAATATTTTCCATTTTATCATGTGTGTTTTACATTTTTCTTCTTGAACAATTTAAGGGATTTTTGTAAGTTTTTTTTTGTTCTGGTTTTATTTAATTTTTTTTTTAATTGGTTGGGGTTTTTTGGTTTGGTTCTTTTTTGGGGGGGGGAGGTTGTTTGTTTTGTTGCCTTCCATCACCATGCTTATGAAGTAATGCAAATGTTTTACTATGTTGGAAACAGAGGAAAACACTTAAAGCTTTTCTGTGGGACATGTGCATCTTCGTTGTGAAACGGAATAGAAAGCTTTTGATGAGTGTGATACCTTTTTAGAGTTCATTTTGTCTAACAATGATTTCCTAATATAGGAAGTCATCAGAGATCATGGCACTAATGAGTAATTTGGAATGACTGTGGGTTTCAGTGTGCCTGGCCTCGCTTGCTGCTCTCAGGGAGCTCCGGGGCTGGAGCCAGGGCTGCAGTTGGAGACGTAGCCCAGGCTCTGACACAGCAAAGCTGCAGCTCCTGGGGGGTGGGGAGAGGCACAGGCAGATGAAGTGCAGGCCTTCTTAAAACCAAACACCTGAAAGAACATTTCAAGAGCATTGTGCCTTGAAAGTTCTGAAAGAAAGTGTCCTTTGAGTATTAAATATCCATAATCCTTTTTCTTTCCATTTGATGTTTCCCATGCCAGTGACCTATCTGGGAGTCTCATCCATATGATCTGCATAAAGAGACTGTTACTGTACACCTCGCTTGGCTCCATCAAAGCCTCAGCTCAGTGTCTGCAATGAAACACTGCCTGTGGCAGCCATGGAGCACACGGTGATGAAAGTTATAAAACGTCCACCGTGGTACGAGCAGGGCTGCCCATGTTTTAGAGATCAGTCTATTGTGTACTTTGGAATTACATGAGAAAAATGTGCTTGGACAGGAAATAATTAGCACTTGTCAAAGGGCAGGCAATAGGTTACAGTACTTTACTTTCAACAGGCTATCAGGGGATCAGCTAGATTAGATAATAGAATTTTTTTTTTCCTGTGGAAGTTAAATACAGATGACTCTAATTACCTTACATTGTGCATTAGAGAGCAGATTGTGAACAGTACAACTTCAAGAAATTTAGGTCAATGAAGGGAGGGCAGCTGGCAGAAAACTTCACTCTGCGCTTGGTCTTTGTAGAGTTATGTAGTATTCTCTTCTTTCTTGTGTTTGATTTGTGTCATTAACAGCTGAAATAAAAAACAAAAACATACATGTTGGGAACTAGTAATACAAACTGACTGAACTTTTGGAAATTTAGCCTTTTCCTAGAAAGGTATATGAACTGTTTTGGTATGTACCTACTCAGTTAAAGCATATTCTCGTGTTAGTTGCTTTAAGTTGTACCAGTGTTTCTGCATATTAATGAGCTGAAATGACTCTTTAAGATTGTATTTCAGCTCCACAGCCCCAAACACGTGGCAGTGTGCTTACTGTTGCACTCACATTCATAGTCATTTCATAGACTTGTGATGCAAAGATGTCATCAGTATCTTAAGTTACCTGAGCAGGTCTTCCAGGGATTCAAGTTCTCTGAGTGGTAGTGATCCACAATACTTCATGTAGGACTTAGTGAATGTCCTCTGAGTGTTAACAGAAATGGTCCAGAGTTTCCAAAGCCCCAGATTTGTTTATACTGCGTGATACTGCCTGATGGACAGGTTGTTATTGGTGTTAAAGAGCTGCTCTAGCCCTTTGAACTGACCCCTTCTTGACCTCTGCTTACAGAAGGTCACTGTTCAGCTTATAAAGTGAGGGGAACCTCAGACTCTACTGTAACAAATAGAGGGTGAAGGGAACAGCTGTGAATTTTGGACTAACCATGCAAACCTGGATAGACTTTTTTAGGGTCACTGTATGATAATGAAAATTGTTACCAAATTATATGGAAATTTAACAGCAATAGTGGGAAAGAGAGGGTGGAGTCTAATGCATTTGGTTTGATAAATGAAGTGTGAAGTTACCCATCTGGCTCTAGACAGCCCTCTTTTTCTCTACGAAAGGGAAACATTTAAAAATAACCATGGTACATCTAGAATCAATGACCCATACAGAGAGCTGGAATAGATCAAGATTTAATGGTGACTGTGGAAGAAATTATCATTTGAAAAGTGAGACAAAGGATGAGAAAGTACAGTTCAATATCTGCACCTGATTCATTTTTTTAAAAGGCCTTAATATTTTTCCCTGTTGATGATGTTATTGACATTTTTTATTTTGCTTTGTAACTGGAACAGAAAAGTTGTTACATCACAAAGAAAAAAGAAAAAGTACTTGAATTTCAAGAGAGAATGTTGCACTTTTCCTGATCAGCAAGTGCCTGAGAGAGCTGGGCTATAGTTAAATAAAACTCTAGCTCTTATTTTTCCTAATAGAACTTCTATCATGTTATAATAGCATTGTCTTTAATGCTTGCATGACATACTGCTCTTAATTGCTAGTAAGTTTTTGTGGTATTTTTCGTAGACATACATTTACTACCAAACTAATTTGTCATCAGTAAATCAACAGGAAGATTAATTTAAAGGGTAGTGTTTAACTGCACTGACTGCTAGGAAGAATTATGGTTAGTTAAAACATTACTAAAACATGGGGTTTTCAAATGGAAAAATTGTGTTAGTCCAAAATGGTTTTATTATAACACAGACTCTGATGTCCATTTTTCTATTTCCCTCAGTGAAATTGTACATTTCTCATGGGGAGAATTTGACTAGATACTGGAAAAGTTTTGGAGAAAAAACATAATTTTGGAGAAAAATGTAATGAAGTGGAAAGTTTGATAAAATTATTTATGATTGTTGAATTTTTATAGGTGTGCTACTTATATGAATTCTGAAATCTTAGATGATTCTCTCTAAATCATCATCTAATCACAAATTGACATAGTGAAAATAGAATAAACATTCAATAAATAATCTGTACCGAAGTAAACACAAAATTCTTCTGGATCATGAGATAAACAGCAGAAAAGTGTTAATTGATTATATCTTGTAAAAATCAATAACTTATAACCTTGCATCATTAAAATAACACAATAAAAATCTCTTTTTATGGGGGTCATTCTATAACCCATAATATTGTAGATATTTTGTAGATTGGGTCACTGTATTTCTAGACTTTTTATATTTTTCCATGGCAGTGGAAGAAAGAACATCTTACTTGTGACAAATCATGTTAGTTTCAGGTTTCAAGTCAGATGTGAGCTATAATTTCTCAGCATTTTTTGCCTTTGTCAAACCCCTTCTTAGATCTCACAATTTTGACATAACAATTTAAAGGTATGTGGGATTTCTTTTAGTTAAAATGAACACTTAAACTACAGAGGTAGTCTTAGCTCTCAACAGTGAAATCTGGATTTTTATGTCGGTATTTATATAGGAATGTAAATTATAAGTACCTAGTGAGAAAATTGAGTCCTAATCTGGATGACACTCTTCAATTCTATAATAAAAAAAATGAAGAATCCTAGAGGGGAAGCCTAAAATAGTGTGCATGTTAAATAAGATACAAAGTGGAGGATTTTAGATATTTTATTTTCTGTTTTGAAGAAAAAGTTCATTTTTTCTTCTTACACCTAACATCCTTATACCTTGGAATTTCAGATCACAATTAAGGAGGTAATTGAGGTAGATTTTATTCTTTTTAGCTCTGGTAGGAGAAAGTGGTGTCAATGTAAAGAAGGACCATGTTTCCTCTGTAGCAGAGGAATGTTGATGGGTTAAGAAGTTAACATGGGCTTTGGGAAAATCAGAGGGGTTTTTTTCCCTTTCTGTCACAAGCTTTGTGTTTGAGTTTCAGGAGTTCATGAATGGTGTTTTTCAATTGAAGAGTGACAATACCAGTTCAAAGACTGGTTGAAAAATACTGAA